TTATATAATAAAAACCTGCCCTGCCTTAAAACATACCTAAATGTACCTAAATGTAATAAACGGATTAAACTGATCTGAGAGTTGTAGTTATTAATCAAAAAGTAATATATAATCGACTTCAACAGCAGTAAGCCTTCTGAGAGCAAAAGGAAAAAGATATGAGACCAGCTGTACCACAGGAAACTAATATCATGAAAGGTGAAACTGATCTAATATCAAATCTAAACCCCTTAGAGCAAGTTAAAATGTCTTGAGAACTAGTAGATCTGACATTAGAGCAGTCAAAACTGACCAAAGAGCAGCTGTAAACTAACCAAAAATGGACAAAACTGACCTGACATCTGACAAGAACTAATAGAACTGATTTAAGAACAAATTAAAGTTGCTTCACCGTGTCTATAGCTCACCTGGGAGCGTGCCCTCTCTCTCCTTTTACGCTCTCTGCGATCCTGGACGGTGGATAGGTAGTTGACAGCAGCATATTCCAACACAGATAGGAAGACGAAAACAAAGCTGACCCACAGGTAGATGTCCACCGCTTTAATGTATGACACTCGCGGCATGGAGGCATTGACTCCAGTAATGATAGTGGACATGGTCAGAACCGTGGTGATACCTGCACAGACACAGCTGTTCACGCTGACAACCAAACACCTGAACAAAATCTCAGAGGAGAAGCAAAGAATGACATCAGCAGCATTTCTAGAACACAGTATTCCCAAAAATGTCTTCAAAAATGACAGCTTCTGGGTTCTGTCATGAGTTGTGTTTTTACCTAAGGAGACTCTGGCTGGCACAGCCCGTCTGTCGATCCAGAATGAGACCCAGGACAGCATCACCATCAGTGTTGCAGGGAAATATGTCTGCAGCAGGAAGAAGAAGATGTGGCGTCGCAGTGTGAAGTTGATGTAGAGACGGTTGTACCAGCCTGCAGACAGCACAATGAGGGGTGACGGGTCAGGCAGGTCCATTGGTTCTCCTTACATAACACTGTTTCCACATCAGTGTTTGTTTTCAAAGATGTCTGGAGCTTTATTTTACCTTGCTTTGTTTTATCATCAGTATGACACAAAATGTTCAAATATTCATCACAACTCTCAGAACTCGACAGCCCTGCTCTGCGTTACTGACGGAGCAGCTTTCTGTTTTTCTTAGCTGAACTTCTGCATCAGTTTAGTTGTTTAGATCTGAATTTCTTAAAAAGATTTCATTCCAATGTGATTGGTTTTCAGAGAGAGAGCTTTCCTTGCGCTTAAAATCTGGTGCACATTTTCTCTTATTGATGCGATAGTGTCAGAAACAGGACAACAAATCAATACATCAACATTTTATCTCTTTTGCAGCTAAACAGAAATATGCAGCAAAGATTCTTTTTTTAACCCCCCTCTTTCCTGCTCCAAACTCTGAACTGCAGAGCCCACCATACTGTGGGACTCTGTCTGACTGGAAAAAAACAAAAACAATACAAAACAGAGAGGTGAGGCTAAAAAGACAGGTAAAAAATTAAGATGCTGCAGGAAACAAAAGAAAAATGTAAAATTACAACCGACAAATAGGAAATAATACTGCAAAACCAATCCAAAGAAAGGAACAGAGCCAAGCTGAAGTAAAATAAGGTCCAGCTGAAGGAAAATCAGAGAAAAGGCGAAAACATTCTGTTTTGAGCTGCATTTTCTTAGCAAACAAGTTAAATTTGACTAAATTATACAAAAAATTTAAGAGGGAATCTTCTTTATATTTCATCCCTTTCGTTGTTTAGCCACTTTCACAGCAGGCAATAAAACATGATCAGCTCTAGCTGCTCTAGTTTCAAGATTAAACATGTGGGAAGAATGTGATAAAAGTAATTTCTGTGATTCCTCCCAGGACCAAGCCGCCGGAGGGGGGGTTCCAGCAGTGGTGATAATTAGATCCGTACCCGTGCTGCTGTAGAAGGCCAGACGGGATGTGGTGTGGAACTTCTGGATAAGGAACTGGGACAAAGAGATCCTGTCGTCGGTGCTCAGGGACTCATCCCCGTTCTTCCAGTACAGCATCAGGTCCTCGTCTGTGTAAGCGTCTGGAAAACAAACACAAACATGCAGAAAATTATTTAATCACGTAGACTGGGCAATGTTTATCGGCAGAGGCAAAAAAATGTTAAATAAAAGTGAAGCCACAGATCAAACAGAAATTATAAACTGCCGGGCGAACAACACATCAGCTGAATTTTATGGATGTTAAACTTTAGAAAAATAAAGTTTGTACTGATTTGTGAACTCCTTAGTCAGGGGTTATCTTTACGTTTGTGGACTAGAGTTCAAAGAACATATTAAATGTCCAAAGCAAACAACATGTAGTAACTGCAATATGAACAAACTGCTGTTGGTTCTCTAATGTAAAAGTTTCCAACACACCTGAATCAAATGAATGGTAAATGAGGGGTTGCTTCTCTGAATTTCGCTCACTCTCCCCCTGAAGGTAGCTCCAGGTCTTCCTTTACTAATAGTGTATCCAAGGCCTGTTGGACTATAAAGTATCCCTCTTACTTTCACAGCCAATTTGACTGCAGTTTATTGGATGTGAAGCACTATAAGCTTTAATGCTCTAAAGCCATTAAGTTTGAATTAAGGACGTAAAGTAAGACAGGAATTTGTTGATGCATGTTAAACAATATTCCGACTTAGGTTTTTATTTGTGTTTTAATCACCTTTGAATTCTTTTTGTTAACTCATCACATTTGAGTATTTATACCACATATCCCTGGTGTTTAGATTCATTATTAATTCTTGATCTTTGTTCTTGTACATTTAGATTTATTTTAATCATGTCATCTTTTTACCTTGGCTGAACAGTTTCTTTATATCTTAGTCGGTTTATGTTAATTAGTCCACTCCTTCAGTTTCCAAGCTTTTCTTCTTCCTCAGCTGCTCCACATAATCCTCAGATTAACTCTCCTTCATTCAATGTCATTCTCCACACTTCCCTCAGTAAAGTATTTTATTGGTTCTCATAGTTTTTTCCTCCTGTAAGTCTTTTCTGCCTATTGTTCTGTCCTAGCTCCATGTCCTGTGTTCCTGGCAGCTTTTGTATATTTTCTGTTTTAGTAGATAGCTTTATTTTCCAGTCAGTTGCTGCGTCTATTGGGTCATTTACCAAACAGGACTCCAGGATAAAGAAAATAACAGAGGTACTTCTTTTGGACCTTCCACCAGAGTTTATTGGTTTTTTTCTTTGTTTCAAACGGTAGGGTTTTTAACCAAGGGAATTCCAAAGTCAAATATAAATTCATCCTAACTTCCCTGAATGATAAATAATTCACTAAAGATAATTCATGCAGCAAATCAGATACCTGCAAGCACCTTCCCAATACTGATCTGACATAAAATGAAGGAAAATGCTGGATTAGGTTTTAGGACTAAAGAAACTAAAGTCCAGAAATTAATAGAGCTTATTAACCTGAACAATTATCAACTTAATCATCTACCACCTGCAATTTAGGTCCCTTCTACAAGAAAATGTAACAATTTGGTCTTAAATGTCACTGATAGATTTGAGTGCGTCTGACATGGTGTGATATTATGAGCAGAGCCCTGTATGGTCTGATCTTCATAGTTCAGACCCTTACAGTTCTCCTGAGATGTTAGGAACCACTTCAAACCTCAGCCTAACAGCCTGCAGGCCTGTACATGCTACATGCTGTAGGTCCAGCAGAGATGAACAGAGGAGGCTCCAACAGCTCGCTGCAGTGACAGTGATGTTCTCTAAAGCTTGTTTGTTAGTTATAAACATGCTCCTGCAGCCAATTTCTTCTTCTCTGCTCTGGAACTCATTAGGAGTGTGAGAGTGTGCCTCCCGCTGTGAGCTGGTATGAACTCCAGCTGCTGCAGACGCTCTGTGAATTTGGGCTTTTATCTCTGCTTCTGCTAATTTTACAGCTTTCCAACTTCTGTTGATGTTTTGAAGCTGCAGAGCTTATGATGGTGGAGGGGAGAATATGGGTGGGTGGTGGTGGTGGTGGTTGGGGGGTCCTCGGTAAAACGGCCCCTGGTGGCTGCTAGGAAAGTATTTGATGTCTCAGAAATAAAGACATGAAACTGAAAAAGTTTGTGCCTCGTGTTCAGTTTTCAGGTGTGAACCTACCACCTCTCTACCTCTGACTGAATCCATCTAGCTGCTGTAAATAAACACTGAGGAATGCAGATGAAAAGTTTACCTCTACTTAATTCTTTAAAAGTGACTTAACTCTACAATAGAGTCAGATCAGATGACATGAAAAGCTGCAGACCTGTTTTAGTTTGACTTTTCAACCCTACGAATCCACTCTGGTGAAGGATCAGGGGTTCCTCTTAAACTTTGCTTAGTTTTAGAACAACAAAACGATGTTCATGCACAAGAGCAAAAATTTGTAAACTGTAGATCAGCATTGAGCTTGCATACAAATGTACAAAAATAGGTGTAGATAACTTCATGGAAAAATAAATATTAAATAGAATTGTATAGGTTTGATAGGATACTTAGGGAAGAACATTTTAACAATCAGTTTTACTGTATGAAAAGCTTATAACAATAAAAAAGGATTCCCTCTCTTATCATCTGTCCAAAGGTGTAAATACCTTTAAAGATAAACTTTAATTGGCTAGAAATTTGCAAGTAGATGCAATTTCACTATCTGGCTGCAACTGTTTGTTAATGTGAACCTTCATATGCTATAGTATAACAAATGAAATATTCTTATACTTCAATGAAACTTTTATTACAACTTTGGGGATGATAAATACTACTGGTAATGCTTTATCTATTAGACCCAACACTGCTTATTTTTTAAATCTGTATTTTTTGTTTGTTTCTTGTTATTACACTTATTCTTTTTAGCCCTTTTGCTTTTAGGACGGATATATTAAAAGTAAAAGGGCTAAAGAAAACAAGTGAAATAATATTTATATACTATATATACATGCTATTTGATGGTGCAACTGTTTGTTCCCTTTCCCCCTTAGGTAAAGTAAAGGCATCAAGACTCACAACAATGTTTGCCTAGAGCTCTTAGGATAGAAAACAACAAGGGGTGGGCAACAGTTTCATTCAGAAGTGACTTAGAGACTAAGGACAAATCTAAATGTTGCAGGAAATCGGCCCTTGAGAACTGGAGTTGCCCATCCCTGCTCTATAACATAAAAATAATTAAATTAAACTAAGATAACAAGAATAAGGCATTCTTAAAAGCAGTCTAGGAAAAAAATATCTTTCAATGCATAATATATTTCATCAAGCGTTCCTAGTAAGCAATAATGTTGTGTTTGTACCCATCATTGACTTCTGCTTGTAAAGGACTACAACTGATATATGGTGCCCTCATCTCGTCTTAAAGCCACATCAGGCTACAAGAAGTCTTCAGTAAATGAACATCTCACTCTGCTGAGGAACTTTGCAAAGGGAAGCATCAGCTGAGTCACTTCATAACAAAGCACCAAATAAAAGTTTTGATCAGTTTCCTCAGCGTCGTTTGAGAAACAGACAATCTTTGTTTAAAACACAAAACTCTGATCTCAGATTCTCTTTATTAGCTCCCAGTTAAATGGAGATTACAACCGAACATTCTTCTTCTTGTTTATAAAGCTCTGAATAATCAAGTTTTATCTCAGAGATCGTTGTTCCTTCTGTTCCTAATAGAGAAATGTTGCTCTAAGACAGAATCTTTTGTTTTTTTTTTTCTATAATTTGTTTTTTTCTGCAGAAAAAAGGAAGTGGTTGATGCATGCTTGCTCAAAGGGAAGAATTGCTGCAAAGTCAATGTCTTGTTGCAATAAGCTAGGCTTTGTTTGCCAGGGCTTTGAATAATTGTTTCCTCACAACTTCACATGTATGAATCATTTTGTGTGTCTGTGCGTCTTTCTTTCTTTCTTTTTTTTATCTTTCTTTCTTTCTTTCTTTCTTTCTTTCTTTCTTTCTCTCCTTGTCAGATAACCACTTTGCACTTTTTTGGACTTTCTGTCATATTTTTTAGGGAGTTAAAACTCTTCATCTAATGATTTAACGAGAGTAATGGTGAAGCATGCTTTTTAATGCGTTACTGGTCAGTTTTAAAATATTTTATGTCTTTGGGAGGAACCCACTCATGTCACGTTTTTTTTTTTATCATTTACTTTTTCTTTAGTTTTGATGATTTTCTTGTACCGTCGAACGGTTTTATTGAACTGTTAATAAGTCTTGGCTTTTCACCCCTTTTCAATAACCCTGATGTGTTTCTGTGATTTTCTTGTTGTCTTACTTTTTTTTTCCACATTGCTGTTGTTGGGAAAAACAATTTTCCTGCCCCCTGCCTGCATTTGAGTGCAGACGTTGGTTACTCTCAGGCATTAAAGTCCAAAGTGAGGAAGGAATGGAGCTTTAACTAAGGCCGTCCTGCACTGAGCCTGTGGGGACACCTGAATTTCCTCCTATGTGAAAACATCAGAAAAACTATGTTGCTTTTTATTTTTTTGCTTTAGTTTATTTATCCCTATTTCTTAAGTTTCTGGGGTTTTTTATGAAGATTTTATAGCAGAGCCGTAAAATTTAACCAGATGTGTGTAAACTCATATCATGAATAAACTGTTCAAACATGTGGCTAATGACCATGACATGACGCTGCCTTATGTTCACAGTCAAACATTAGTGGAAGTATATCTTTAGGTAAGAATATAGCTGCCCTAATGATTATTTCTGTTTGGTTTGAATAAATTTCAATATAAAAAAAAAGGAAGCAATCCCACCAATCAGGTCTAGAGTTTTAAAATAATTGCCCCGAATTTGAAAATGTGAATTAATCTTGACAATGTTGAGTTCAGACCTGTACAATCAGCAGACCACTTTGTCTAGCAAAGGCTATCAAAGATAGCCTTTCCTGTTCAAATCTAAGCTCATTGAGAGAAAAGTCAGTTAAGTCCACTATTCTGGAAAAGGTCACACTGTTATTTTAATCCTTAGTCATAAAATGCAGCAGATGTGGTAAAGAATGAAACCTTCCTTGGAAGGCCTGCAGGTCTCACCTCTCTCATATAAGGTCATCATTCAACAACGAGAAAGAGACTGGGAAAAATGGCATCCATGAATGTTAAAGATCAAAACTAATGCTGACGAAAACAAGTCAAAGCAAATGGACCCATCTCACTTTTAAAATAACATAATTCAGAATATTCATAAATAACAAAAAGAAAGTGGAACGTTTGGGGCAATGTGGTCCTGTTGCAACAACGCAAAGCTGACATAGCGTTTCAGAAAAAAAGAACACCAGGAATGGCCAAAATGGTGGAAGGATGGTCCAGGGCCTCTTATCGTTTAGGACCTGAGGGGCCCATGAATTTTCTTCTCTGAGGAATCTCTGGCAAGTGATTTGTGATCCTAAATCTAATCTCAACTGGTTTAAGCAGCAGAAAAATAATCCACTTTAATTGGTCTAGTCAAAGTACAGAAATATATCCAACTGAGATGGGTGGTTATGAGCTTATAAGGCTGCTGATGCTCACAAACCCTTGAGTTGTGCAGAATTAAAATGAGTCTAGAAGAAAAAGTATTTGAAAAGAATCTTGAGTGAAAAGAGAAACCCCCAATGCCAATTCTTAATATAATGATAAAATTTTTCTAAGATAATTTGTTTCCACTGAAAACAAGTTAAACTACGATATGGTTTACTGTTATCTACTCTGCTGGAGGAGAGACAACAGTTCTCAAAGCTCCCAATGATTATCGATACCCTGTTGGTCTACTCTATTGGCCCATCTTCTTTTACAAATATTTGCCCCTCACAAGATAGCAAACGTATAGATTTCCTTTATTTGCTGACTGATTTTCTGGGTTTGATTCTCATCTTTTCTAAGAAAATCAAATAAATTAAATCCTAGGCTTTCAATAAAAAGGGGCTATAGCAGGAGCTCACCCCAGGAGCCATCAAGAGGTGTGTGAAATGTGGGTGGAAGGTACACAGCTTCAATGAGCAGCATCAACCAAACAAATCTGTTGTCACATAGCATTACTCTGTATTATGACAATGTTATGGCACTTTTTCATGACATTTTGAAAAGTAGGCAGAAATGTCTTAGAGCAGAGTCATTCCTAATTGGAAGCCTCAAGACAGTAATGCGGTTTTTCTTTAGAAAGTGATGAGATGGATGCAAGTAGTGCTGAAAATTGTTGGCGCTGCATTGGGAGGCAGGTGCTCAAAATGTAAAAAACAGCCATGCAGCACAAAATATTAACACAGACTGGTATAATTCACCAAGTTCAAACAATAATGCATTTTTTAATGCGTGTGTCAGCAGTGTTGATAGAGTATTGCTTATGTTTAAGTTTAAAAGGGTAGAGCATATAGCTCCATGTGTTTTAGAATGAAATCAGGTGAAAGTTCATTCACATCCTCTTAATAATAAAGGGAAAAAATGTCAATTTTTGTTGAATCGGACATTTTTTTTTCTAGCAAAACTTATAGAAAACTAAAAAAGCAAAGCAGGAAAGCTGCGCAAGAGTTGGAAAAAATCCATATGTATACCAATGAAAAACATTTGTTAAAGTGAAAAAAACGTATAATGTAGAATCTGTTGCATTCCTATCCTTCTATAGCTGTGTGGTTAAAATGAAAATTGTTTCTCTTACCATACAAATGTCCTCCTCCTCTCAGTCATGTCCAGCCTTTCAGCTGCTAACAGGTGAGTGTTTCAAAGCTTTATTATTTGTTTCAGTGTTATTTCACAAAATGCTTCAAGAGGTGTTATAAAGAAAAATTTCATCTATTGTAATAAAAGTGACTGACTTTGATTGTTATTTTATTTGAGCGCATGTGGTTGACACATTGGAACAAATTATAGTAATTACCGCTGTTTGTAATAGAAAGAGCTGTTTCCACATAAGGAAAATTACCCACTGTAGCAAATGAAACTTGTATTTGCAGGTTCCAATGTTTTCACATTATTGTCTCAGGAGACATTTTTGTTATTTACCTCCAAACTAAATTTGACAGAAAAGCCCTTAAGCTGTTTTGAACTCTGTGCTGTTGATCTTAAAATGAAGAATGACGTTTCTCTGACAATCTTGCATTATCTCTGTTCTTATTATTTGTCATGTTTTATCTTCAGAGTGTCAGACTCCACCAGTTTTTACTCACAGCTCTCCAGCTCCAGTGAGCAGGTCTGAGAATCCAGAGGAAAGCGGCTGAAGTCCATGTTACAGGCTGCTGTAACCGTCACTCTGTTTAGACACAAAGAGAAAAATGCACTCAGTCACTGAGAAACTTTATTTTCAGATTACACACCACTGCAAAATACAACCTTCATGTTCGATTATATTTTTCTATATTTTGTGATAATTTAACACAATTTCACTGACGTTCAGACATCCTAACTCAACAGTTTGTAAATCCACCTATTGAATGATATCTTTATAAGCTTTATACAAATAACAACTAAGATTCTATTTCTATATCTATTAAAAAAAAGAGCTTAACCCCAGTCACACTGGAAAGGGAGTTTCTGTGGGCGTCACATTGCTGCAGACCAGGTCATTTTACTACATGATTATGCTCAGATCTAAATTTGTTTGTTCTCCTGTTGGAAGATGAACCCATTTAATATGATAGAATTTGTATACTGTGAATTTGATGTGCAGTGGTTTTCATCATTCCAGATGTTTTTTAATACAAGACAGAAAGTTATATTTGGTGCCCTCTGGCCAGAGCACCTTCTTTAGTGGGTCCTGAACCTTCTACATGGTTTGTGGCAGACTGTAAATAGCACTTTTTAAATATTTATCTTCTCATTTTCTTGCCACTTTTCCATAAAAACAACAGATTTTTGGAATGCCTAACCTAAGCTAAGTATATCTGGACCTCCTCTGGAGTTGCAGTCTGGCTAGCCTGGGTGCCAGTCCGAACTTAGTCCCGCCCACAAGGTTTGAGTTCGGGGAAGTTCGGTCTGGCTCTGCTCCATAGTAGCGCGAGTATTAAAGCCCACTGTCAGGCGATCCAATCAAATTGTCAGGGCGGGCTTTATACGATGATGGACAGATGATCAAGAGTAACGTTATCAACCACGTGACCAAAGCGCGCTTGGGTGACAACAATAATGGCTGCGGCTGGAGAGTTTGGGTGTGTAGATTCTGCTATTAGGTCTGTTCTAGAAGATATCGACAGCAAATTAATTTTAAAAGAGGAACAGAGAAACGCGATCAAGTCTCATCTTCTTATTCTAGGCGTGCAACTGCACGCTTTGATTTTTGTGGACAACAACTATGCCTCGCTTAAGATACGTCACGCACTCCGTTGCTCTTATTGGTTGTAGATCTATCCAATTGAGTACAGAGGCATTTTTTTCCTGGTTCGTTCAAAACACGCCCCATAATCACAGCTCTATGGAGCAGTATCAGACTCATATTCTGACTAGAATTGAGTCGGACTACGTCAGGCTACAGTCTGGCTGCTTTTTATTAAAAATCTTCAACCCTTGCCTATGAATTTAGGCAGAGGACCATGTCTTTCCAGGTCTCCATTTACTCCATTAACTTTCCATTTTTTGGTGATTGACAGAACAGAGCTCTGAGTGATCTTAAACGTTTTGGATATTGTTTTTCAATCTCGCTCTAACCATTTCACAACTTTCTCCATGGTCTGTCTGACCAGTTTCTTGGTCTTCATGAGGCTGCATGCTATTCAGCAAACTTCTACGGCCTTCAAAGAACAGCTGGATTTACAATTACTTTGGAATATATAAAGTTTGACTGCATTTGCTGATGTGATGGCTTCAGAAAGCACTTGGTTTCACCTGATTTTATTTAGGGCTGTACTCAGCCTCTCTCTATCAAATAACTGGGTCTGAATACAAATGCAGTACAGAATATTTGAAAGTTTGTTATTATGTTAAAAAACATGGATTATTCTCCTTGAAATTCACCATTTTGGCCAACTGTGTTGCACAAACTGTTGAATTCAACACTGAAGTTTAGAACCTGACAAAAAGCCAAAAACAAAGGTGATTTATATGAAGTTGCAAAATACTGACATCTACCATTTCTGAAGACTTGGAGTCTTCATAAACAGATGTTAAGTAACAATGTGAATAATTTTTGATTGTTTTTTTCTTAATTCATGGTACTTCTATTTAATGCACTACTACCAAAGTCCCATAGGAGGCGCTTTGTCCTTGTCAATTAACCATGCAGCAGTTCCCCCTCAGCTGGAGACACATTCAGTTAATAAAACTCTCAGCGGAAACATTCATGCGGAATAACAGTTAACGGACTCTCAGATAGAGTCCTGTGGCTCATTTCTCTGAAGTTAAATCCTAACAGGATGAAATAAATATTCAGCAGATTTCCTCTGCAGACTGTAAACACACTAAGCTCAACACGTTGCCATTTATTGATCTTTAACTCATCTGATTCCTGCTGCCTGTCGGGACCCAATATAGTCGCAGGGAAACTGGGACAGATGCCTCGATACGCAGCAGGGAAACTGGAAGCTTTAAATGGATCTGAAAAGATGAAGATCAGGCACATCTGAGGCCTGAGCTGCTGAAGGAGCTGAAAATGAAGCCGTGGAGTTCTTCTGTAACCGTCCCCACCATCGTAACTTCCCTTTACAGCTCTACCTCCCCATCAATCAGTCAAATACCTCCACTCGTCACAGGTCATTAACCTGTGGATCCATTCCCATAGCAACTGTTACAATAGCAACTGTGAACCTGACAACGGGCTCTTTTCTTCAGATGTACCTGTTGCAGCTATTTGAGTCAGTTTTTGTAATTATTCGTTACTTTACTTTTCCTTTGAAAACAGATCAAGGCCTTTTAATTATCAGAATAAATGCTGGATCAGTTTGTTGGTATAAGAGGCACAGCCTTAAAAAGGTTAAAATGTTATTTATCCAACAAAAGTTTACTAGATAAGACAGGTCATGACTCTGTTTCTCCACCTACGATGTTCAACAAAGATGATTTTTAATTCCTGTTTAATTCTCTTTGTAGCTGCTACCTATGAAATCTATTTTCTATAAATATACAGAAATGCATGTGTCACTCAATTTTTATCCAGATGAGATTCAGGTTGATTTGTCATTCAGTAAATATTCTCCTCAAGTCTTTGAGATATGTGAGAAAATATATAGGCTGGAACTTTATTTAAATGAGAACAAGACAGTGTTTGTATTTTTATTTTATTATAAAAATCACCTGATTAAATTATGCAGTAGTGCCATGGAATCACTGGGATCTTATGGCAGTGATTCCCAGAAGATTCTAGGACTCTTGGGATGATCTTTAAATTCAAAATACAGGTCTACCAAGCTGGTAAATTTAATTTTTAATATTTTAGACTAAATACTAAAGTTTAAGAGCTTAAAGTTTAAAATTTGGGGAGTGGGGGCTAGAGGCATAGCCAGAAATTTTTTATAAGGGTTTTCAGGCAATAACCATTGTACATTGAGGGGTGGCCGAAAGTAGATAGGCGCCAGAACCTCAGGGTCAGTCTACACTGTTCCAACAGGAAAATTAACAAGCAAAACATCCATATTTTCTAAATAAAGACAAACTATAATTTCCTACAGCCTTTGCTAACAAGTAGATGCATATATTTAAACATCCATGCTTTCTAAATAAAAGGTATAGTGGATAGAATTCTTTCAGTTTTGAGCTCTGGGGCGTAAATCTTTTCCATCGTCATTACTTACCTACTTGTATCAAGGAACATTCTGCATAAAATTGATATTTACAAGCACTAATATCAACATAAATTGATTATTTGATAAGTTTATATCAAAACTGTTATTTATCTATGATTTAAACAAAGACTCCCAGATGACTTGCAGAGACACATCATCTACTCTTTACCCCATATAACACAAAATCTAGTTCTGAAAAGAGCATGAATTCGGTATTTATCACCTTTGATGTTAGGGGTGTGCAAAATAATCGTGATGATGATGCATCGTGATTCTAATTTTCGTGATCTACTGCATCGTGATGCCAAGAATCGATTATTAATTTAAAAAAATGAATAAATAAAATTGCATGAATGGTTGGCGAACATCAGCCAAAAACAAGTGTAATACAACTTCCAGTCCAGTAGATGTCACTGCAAATGTGTTGACGCACGCTGCCTTGTGTCACAAGCATTTCCGGCCGCGGGATACTGTGCCGAGTCATTCAAAAACAAAACATGGAGGATAAAATATTGCAATGCATCGCAATAATTCAAGTATCGTGATGCATCGTGATAGAATCGCATCGTGGCCTGTGAATCGTGATCCATGAATCGTACCCACCCCTATTTGATGTTAGTATATTAATGTGTATAATTAACCACAAAACAATTAAATGTTTTGAATATTTCGCTTGAGAGTATTACTGCTGCCACCATCTGTATAAGAGGAAAAAAATTGTAGGTGGGGCCACAGGGGTGGCCAATGATTGGGTAAGGGTGGCCATGGCCACCCCTAGCCCCCCATCTAGCTCCGCCCCTTGTGGGGGCCTAGGGGTTAGAGCAGTACACTCGGAATCCTGAGGTTCTGAGTTCGAGCTCCACTCCCACAGACTGTCACTCTGGGTCCCTGAACCCCACACTGCTCCCCGGGTGCCACACAGTGGCAGCCCACTGCTGCCCAAGAGGATGGGTTAAATCAGAGAGTTAATTTCGTTGCTCTGTACCTGTGAGAATGTAATGACAATAAAGGCTAAAAAAAAAGGATAAAAAAATAACGTCCTATAGAGGTTCATTTATTCTTTTTTTTTTTTACTTCTAAACCAGACTGCTTCAATTCTCTCTGTGGTGCGATTAACGATAATCTACTTCTCCATCTCCAGCTGGTTTAAAATCTAGCCGTCTTTCTGCTTAGCACATGACGATATAAATACACAACCCTAATTTGTATTCCTTCCACTTACTGCCCATTTTTTAAGGATTTTTTTTTTTTTTTGGAGATTTGGCCTTTAGTTTTGAAATATCTAAATGGTCTGCCACATCCCTATCTTATAGAGCGGGGGTGTAAAAGTCAGGTTTACAAAGTACTTTTTGGAGTTTTGGAACAACATCAATGATAATGTAGGAGCATCATTAGATACAAAATATAGTAAAACTTCCTTTTGCTGTCAGTAAAACTGAGCCGCTGGAAGAAAGAGCTCCAGATTTACAACTGAGCTCCAGATTTACAACTGAAACATTAAAACATTTTATTTAAGACTTCTCTTCTGTCCTCATCTCCA